TCATTATTTATATATTGTACATCTTTTAAAGTTTTCAGGGATAATTTGATAAATTGAAATAGTTCAAAGAATGTAATAATCTGATTCACTATTAAATTATTATTTAACTAAATATTTACTAAAAGTTATTTTTTTTTTTTTATTAAAGAAATTCCTTAGCTACCTTTTCTAATTTTCCACTGGAATCCATAATTTGACGCGATTATCAAAAATTTCAGTTAACTATAGTGATTTTAAACTGTCTACATGGTACAAAAAAATAGTTTAAAAATAAACTTAATTCAAAAGAAAGTCAAAAGAATCTAAGTAATTTAAGTATGAAAAACAACTGTATACTGTATAGACGTATAGTATACTATATACCTATATAATTGTTCTCACCAATCACGATAACTGTAATCTTTTATCAAACTAAAATAAACAGCTGACATGAAAAGGAAACAAATTGTATATGATAAGACATTTTTTTGCACTTAGTCGCTCAATGATTTTAGTCCTTACCTGATTACCTATATCGGCTATATCATTCAGAAAAAAATTTTCCGGTCTTTAAACCGATTTTTATTTGTTAATTCACCAAAAAATGTTATCCTTGAACAGAATTGTAAAATGTCTCGTAAGTACTTATTTACGTTTCTTTATTTCACTATTACCATTTTACCTGAAATTTTTGTGTATTTGTTTATTATTTGTAGGTGTCAAATTCAAGAACATTCCAGACATCTGCAGTCGTCAAACATGATACAATGTTTAATGTGAGTAGAATATTATGTTATTGTTTGCTTAATTATTGAGTTACTTAAGAATTGGTTAGTGACAGCTTCTGCTTTCTAATAACAAAATAGGTAGTTGTGGTACACTTATTTTCACTTCTGCAATGTCCATATGAACAACATTTTGATTAAAATTATTTATATGATAACCTAATGCGATTGGATTTTTAGTTGAGTATTGAAGTTTAATATTTTCTTGATATTGCAATTCTTAAAATTTAAGGTTTATCATTTGTTCCGTATTTTAAAATATATTCATTCTAAAATTCTTCATATTGCTATTATATCTGTTAAATATATTGAATTATATAACTTCTGATTTTTGTATCTATAGCCATAGAGGCCATTTCATAATCTTGGAAATACTAAAGCATATTATTTTGAACATTATAAATTATGGTCTTTAATATTCAAATATATAGGTATAAAATCATTAGAATTTTATTTTTCTGTTAAAATTGTCTATATTTAATTCCATAATATTGAATATTGTGTAACTATAATATACATAATTTTAAGAATTATATTAATAAATATATTCCTATGAAAAACCTACTAGTTTTAATCAATAATTTGAATGTATCAAATATCTTTTGTTTAGTTATGTTATTAAGATGAAGTTCTTTTTTTACTGTTGTCTGTATATCAGTTTACCTTACAGGGTAAGTTATAGCTGTTGATTGTTCAATTTTTCAGATGTAAATAATCTTACATAGCGTAGTAATTATTTAATAGACACCTCTACTTAATCATAAAATTGTTATTTTATTATTGACCTCAACTGGATTTAAACCTCAACTAGTAATTATTAATGATTTTTTATAATATTTAAACAAGTATAGCTATAATTTAAGATAATTTTAATTTAGTATTAAAACTTTATTAGTGTTAATCTTTGATAGGAAAATTGATTTAATTAACAATGTTTTTATTTTTTCAGCATAGGGATACAAAGGAGGATAATCTGGATATAAAATTTGAGTTCAGCGATGAAAATAAAAAGGTAATCATGTTTATACATGATTCTTGTTCTGTGTACTTAATATACTCATTATTCATGTAGATCTAATTTATTTACTTAATGTGTTTCTTAGAGAATTGAAGCCATATTAGCTATATACCCAGAAGGCCATAAGCGAGCAGCCATGATACCGCTGTTGGATTTAGCTCAAAGGCAACATGGTTGGTTACCTATATCAGCTATGCACAAGGTGGCTGATGTATTAGACTTACCTAAAATGAGAGTTTATGAAGTAGCCACTTTTTACACAATGTTTATGCGAAAGCCAACTGGAAAGTATCACGTGCAAGTATGCACAACAACTCCTTGCTGGTTGCGGGGTTCAGATGACGTAATGTCATGTTTAAAGAAAAAATTAAATATTGGTGTTGGTGAAACTAGTAAAGATGGGCAGTGGACATTGTCTGAAGTAGAATGTTTGGGTGCATGCGTTAATGCTCCAATGATGCAAGTCAATGATGATTATTATGTAAGTTAATCTGAATACTAATGTATTGTGGTGTTTCATCTACATCATAAAAGTCCAATAAATATCTTTCAATTTCAAACATAGTATAAATTAAAAGATAAATAATAAAAGAATATTTTAACCGTTTTCAAAGAAAATTTCAGAATATTATTGCATACATTTTTTATCTATAAATTAATAATGCTGTATTTAATTAGTAATTTATATGTATGAATTTGCAGGAAGATTTGACTACAAAAGATGTTGAATCTATAATCGATGATCTAAAGAATGGGAAAATTCCTACTCCAGGACCCAGGTAAATCTTGATCTCTTTCTTTATAAAAGCATTTATTAGTCGTATTATTTTGCAATTTTTTATAGATCTAGTCGATATGCATCAGAGCCAATGGATGGATTAACATCATTGAAAGAAGAACCCTATGGCCCTGGATTTAAAGTACGACCAGATTTATAAGTTAAAACATTCTAGTAGGATCACAATTTGTTTTAAAACTTATCAAAATACATGATTATGTAATATTAGTAATTTTTTTTTTTTTTTTTTTTTGGCTTACACGTAACAGTTTGAAAAAAAAATTACCATGTCTGTAAAAAAATGTATATGATTATTTAATATACAACTATAAAATTAAAAATTTCTTGTATCATGTATGTTTTTCTGGTGTATGTTTTTTTTGTTTCAAACACGTAACACCATGAGCCTTAAGATTGTGGTTGTATTTGAATCGACGATGACATTTAGTACATTCGTACATGAGGTCTAGACCACACACTTCTTTTCTATGGTGTACAAGGGTGAATCGGTCGCCAAACGTATCCAAACAATCTGGGCATGTGTGCTTTTCATCCAACTTGAGGTTCATGAACAGTTTTTCATCCAAATCATCCAATAAGCCTAGATGATCGCAATAATGGTTGTCAACATTACTATATTGTTATTATAACAGATGTTGCAATATATAGAGTGGGTTAAAAGCAATTTAATAGCAACACAAAGTTAAGAAGGAACTGATTTTTAGGAGCAATTACATTTTTATAAAGGAATAGGAAAATTTTTTTTATAAATATAAAACAAATTTATATTTTCAAATGACCAAGGAACTGAATATTGGATAATATTATATTATGTATACAATATACATAAACACATATCACAAACATGAAACATAAAGCTTAATATTATTATATCACAATTTCAACCAAATTTTTTGCAGTTTTTAAGAATACAAGAATTAAAAATTTAGGTGAAAAATAATATATAAAATTATTTTTAATCATCATAAAAAATAAAGTCACAACTCACATGTTGATTTTGTGTAAAAAAAAAAATCTTGTTACAAAAGTGAAAAGTCACAAATGTTAAAAACAGTATTAAAAAGATACCTATACGAGTTAACATTATAGTAAACATAATTAATGTACTATCAAATATTATAAAGGTACATATATTTAAGTCCTAAAGTAAGTTCCGAGTACATGGTACATATATAAAACATTGACTAGAAACATTAACGAAAAATCTTCGCACGACATTGTATTGCATACATACATAATAATACGTACTACCGCAGATGACGATTTATAATATTTTTATGGGTAGGGGTATGGTGGAAGGTACGACACAGGTGTAAGTTTTTTTTAATGGATTGTTTCACTTGAGGTGGGTCTTCATGTGCAACAATAGGTTGTGTTTATGCTTGGACTTTTTGTGGCATATGGGACACTCGAACTTCGGATCGACGCCGCACTCGAATCGGACGTGCCGACTGAGGCTGTGGAGTCGAGCGTACGAGTTACCGCACCGGGCGCAGGCGTACATCGGTCGCTGGTGGTTGGCGGGCAAGTGGTGCTGTATTCTGGTAGACGAATGCAGGGACAGTGTGCGTCCGCGTTCGGTGTATGGGTCACCTGAAGACGGACGCCGGGAAGACAAAAAACAATAAAAAAAAAAAAACAAAACGAAAATATACGAATTAGCACCAGGACTGCGCAGTTTGGATATAAGTGTGTGTGTTTATGTGTGTTTGCAGTAGCTCACATGCAACTATTTTTAAAATATAATAATAGCGGCGACTGCACACTATAGTCACGTAAATAAAAAAGCAACAATCGAGAGAACAAAATATAATAATAATATTATATTTAATTATATAATTAAAGTCTCTATTAGATACATACCCTACGCGTAAGGCGTAACAATATCTAGGTAGCAACATTTTTTTAGTGAGTAAAAAGTAAAGTCAAAAGTGTACGAAAATTCCATGCCTCTCCCTCGCAAATACGACTGAATTACGCCCCTGCGTGTATGACGATGTATATCATTATTGTGCTAGTAAATCTTTACGTAATTTGGTTTTTAATAGAATACAATTTAACAAGTGTATGAGTTACGATCATTGGGAAATTATAGTTTATTAATTAGGATAGATATATAGCAAACGTTAAGTGGATGCGATATCATAAAAAAATGACTGCAGGCCGTAGCAACTTCGCCATACGTCCATACCTGATGATTCAAGACAGTTAGACAGACATAAGTAATTAATAAATTAGTATAATACATAAATGGTATGTTTTTTACACAGTTTTAAAATAATATTATATATATATATATATATATATGTATATACTCGAAGTAGTACGCATTTAAAGTAGGTACATATAATATTTAAAATATAATATGTATGTTGTTTGGGCGGTAGTTTAAGTAATAACAAAATAATACATCATATAAATGTTTGAGTAATGAGCATAATTATATAAAATAGATAGGTAGTCAATAAAGTTTTCAAATCAAAATGTGATGTTTGCTCAACGAATGGGTCTTCAAGTTGTGCCTGTGGTAAAAATACGCTTGACAAATGTGGCACTGGTGACGGGGCATCTTTCCACATTCGTCTCTGATGTGTCGGCGTAAGGAATCTCTGTGCTTGTACCATTTACTGCACGTTTTGCACGACCAACACTTGTCTGGAAAAAAAAAAGACCGAAATAAAATTAAAAGCAGACCAGCTAGCCACTTATTTCAATCATAATATTACATATCTAATATCTATGCGGTATATACTATAGATAAAGAGCGGGGAGTAATATAAGAGTAGACAGGTAGATTATATAGTGATATTACGGCGACGACTTAAACTAATGAGAAAACAAAAATCATGGATCAAGCAAATATTTCATTATGATCACAACAACATCACTATAATAATTTTTTTAAAAAAATAACACTGAACAATACCTACAACGGTATCGTTAAAAAAGCGACAAAATACACAAAACGATATAATAATAATGGTATGTAATAATATTACCCACCTGCACCAGTTAGCTGCAGCAAACTGCTGTAGTAATTATTCAAGTATTGCAGCTGTGACATTACATACTGCCCCGGTTATGTTATTATGCAGTGTTAAAATATGTAATATAATATTTAATTTATTATCTAATAAATAGGTAAGATTAGGTACCTCTATACATCGTAAAAAAACCTTGTTACGAATCACGGCATTATATTATATTTATATAGGTACCTTTCTACCTACTCAATGGCGTATTGTAATGCAACCCTCTCAACCCTGCAGTAAGTATATTATTATATAAGTAGGTATCGAGGAAACTACTGTATATTTTGCTGAATCATAGATCGTAACCTCTAAATACCGGATACTCTCGGTCGCTGATGTTTTGTCCATTTATCAGTTTTACATTTGTTTCCAGAAAAAAAGTCAGCTACTTGGAGGTGTCCGTTAGAGGAGGTTTCAATATACACAGAATATTGCGGTGTCGGACGTAATTTAAGGTCGTGTTTGCTTGGCCTCCACATATGTTTTAAGCGTGTCAAACACACTACAAGAACCCAAATGGTTTTCTAACTCTGTACAGATAATCATTCGGCAATACGGACATTTGGCAATCCAAATGTGTTGCAAACGCCCTGAAACAAAATACAGTGGCGATTAGCGTTAGGTAAACATGATTTGGTCCAGTGTATAGGTGTCGACTGTGTCGAGTTCACCGAAATGATATAATTATTTCATAGTAATAACTGAAGAGAAGCGTTAGTATTATAATATAAATAAGAGACGGAACAAGCTGATAGAACTAAGTATATCTACAGCGTTTTCCGTAACTTTCCGTGACGTATTATCTGTCCTATCAAAGAGCTAGTGGTTTAATATGATTTAATATTTTTATTTTTTTTATTGGGTGATTCGTTTATCGAACAACGTTCATGATTTCAAAATTTATTAACGCTTTTGAAAAACAATTTTTTACTCAATTTCGAGTCGAAATAAAACCAATTATAGTTTTAATATTTTTATCGTTATAGTTTAAGATATTGTTTTTTAAATGACAACATGTATTTTTAATTTTATGTTTTAAAGCGGATTATTATTTTTTGAAAATTAGATTATATAAAAATATAAATTCTGATGAGTAGTTTATAAGCATAAGAATTCAAATTTAGTTGAACGGAGTAAAGTGGTACGGGGATACTCTTCGAAATGTTGGTCTGCTACTCTGCTCACCTATACTTTAAATATGTACAAATCATGAAATACACGTCTGAATTTCAATTTTAATACATCGAAGTACTCAGAAAAATATTCTGCTTTAGAATATGGAATTAAAAATTCATGCTGTCATTCAAAAAAGCAAAAAACTTAAATAATTAAAATAATGAAATATATGTTTTTAAAAACATTATTAATAGATAATTTTCCGCATCAAAATGGCTGATAATGTATTTTATTTGTGTGTACTTATATGTTGATTTTGTCTTTGCAAAAATGACTTGTCCCGACAGTTGCACTTTAAAATCATATCTTGTATAGGTAAGTAGATGATTTAGTGTAAATATTAAATGGTTAGGTTATAATATATACACATAAAGTCGGCCTAACGTGGTGATGGTACAACTCGCGGACCAAAATTAAATATATATTTCTAATTTATCAGGTACATACAATAATAGCAGTGAATATATATTATAAATATTTTTTTCACTGTTGATGAACATTCAGCCGTTTCTTTGATCCGTATAACTATTTTTTACTACGATATAATATATCGGCTCAGCATACGTAATGATTCGTGACTATTGATATCACTTTTCAAAACATAATATTTTTATTATTGATAATTACATTTTTAGTATAAGCAATATACTTGCGTTTAAAATACCGACACAAAATCAAATGAAGTAGAACATGCGAACTTATTATTTGTTACTGTTCGATCAGGATATTATTAAAATTTTTACACGTATATAATATAATAGGTATTATAAAGTGTGTTTTTATACACTCATATATATATATATATGTGTATATATAAATTAAGCGCATTATTATGATTGTATAAAATTCAATTATTGAAGAATATATATGTACACATAATATAGATATAATAATAATATTATCATTGTCTAACGGAACATGAACGGCACACCAAAAAATATATTGTATATGATTTAATAATTATTATAATTTAATTTATATTATAAAGGTAATGATGACAATTATTATTAAGCGAAAAAATGGAATAGAAAAACAAAATGAAACAAGGAAACTTGTTAATCATTCATATATAATTTTTATAAATACACATAATTTACATTATAATAATACACAAATATATATTAATTTTTTTTTGTGCTGTACCTGACTAGAATCATGGACCGCCACGTTAAGTAGAGGTATTACACTTATATAATTATATAAGTAGTATTTTAATTTGTTTCTATATAAAGGTCGTGACTAATCAAGGAACTCAATTTCATTGCACTAAATAATAATTAAAAAAAAAAAAAATACAAATACAAATGACTAAAATTTATCCACAATATGGGTTAGTTAAAAAAAAAAAAAATAGATCCTTTTTACATACAAATTTTTCAGTACAACAGTTGTGTGTCAGTGTTACATATACGTATACAAATTATAAATTACGAATTTTATTACAATTTAGTATTATGATGTGGTCATTTTTAATAGTAAAAAAAAAAAAAGGAAATGTGAAAAATACGAGAGAGAGAGAGACAGAGGATATTTTATTTCCACCAGAAAACGACGAATAGTCACGTTGACAAAGTGCAGGATTGAGTTTGGAAATGCGTTTGTTGACATCAAGACGTAAAACTTATCATTTTATTTTGCACCACCGCACAGAAACGTTTGCTCAATACATGTGAATAGCCCTACTTAGGACAATCGATCCGGAAATCGCAACTAAATTGCGGTGTACCTATACATATATCTACACATTTATCACAATGTTTTGATTTTTGAATTCACACATAAATTATACTATCTTATGAATATTGCGTCGAGTTTTCAATATTTATTATGAATTACCTATGATTTATGATCCACGCCGAACATTTTTGTCTCAAGTTTGTTGGAAATTTAACGATATTATAAGTTACAGACTTCTTACTCTTAAATCATCTCGTATTAATTCATGATTTATGAACACGAAATATGGGTTGACTTACAGTAAACGATGATTCACGAAAAATTTTATACTTGCATTTCCTAAATAATCTGAGATTATTTAAGTTACAAAAAAATTATTATATCAGAAAAATTTGAAAGAATCGTTGTTAAATTATGTATTGATCGTATATTTACACAAAGCACACAAAATATTGTTTATTAACTTAAAATCATAATTTTTCCACAGTAAATATTTGTGTTTTGTGCGTTTTTGATAATTAGAATCGAAAAACAAAAATCAAAATACAATTTACAATTATGTGATAATTATCTTAAAAAGTAAATTCGTGTCGGACTTTGGTATATACCTATTAGATCCAATAAAAATATTATGATCTAATTTCAATAGGCATGTTTGGTAACATAAAATGCATGCAATTGAACGCATTTAATCGAACCCACTAAATTTAATATTGTGCTGTACGAACCCATCAACAATACATTGTAATGATAAAGTGCTCTCTTACGTCTCTTATGTCTAATACAAAATTGTTCAATTGTCAACTATACCTAATGTTATAGTTTCAAGTTTCGACTATCAATAAAATAGGTTTGGCAAATGTTTTGTTATATTTTTCGAGAAAAAAAAAGTATTTTATATTATATACAGGAATAATATTAATTTAAAATTAAAATAAATAACTATTTTTGACTAGACATATTTCAAATTAGACGAATGTAATAAAAATATTAATATAAATAGAAAGATATCGCTCTTTACCGTATATTATTTTGTTGATAGGAGAGAACTTTAGTCTTACATTCAATCTTACTAACTAATGACTCTAATATATTTGATGTCTAGAAATATTCCGTGGTACAATAACTCGAGTACCTATTTATAGATAAAACTAAGTAAAATAAAAACCAGAATTCATTTAACACACACACACAACGAATAATAAAAAATAAAACATGATTTGCACGAATATAAATTGCACGAAAAACAAAAAAGTAGACTAGATTGCGTTGTTCCATATTTGACTAGTAAAAATAATACATATCATATAATAATAATAATAATAATAATAATAAAATTGAATTATGTAAAAATTATGCTGTGTATTACATAAATAGTTTTTTTTATCTTAAAGTGAGTTCGCTCCTCGTATATCATACTCTCTATTTATAATAATATGGGTCGTCTTTAGAGATGTAAGTAAGACTTTCAATGTTATGATAACCAGTTTGGTCAATAATATACCTTATATAATAATAATAATAATAATTATAATAATATACGATTAAAAGGTCAAAAAAACCCTTTCGAATTAAATACACAAATTTGACGGGCCACACACACACACACACACACACGCGAATGAATAATTTTATAAATACGCAATACGTATTTGTTTTTAGTTTCCCAGTTTTTGGATTTTAGAATTCCAATTTTGGGCCAAATTCTGGTTTTTCAAGTGCAACACCAGTATCGTCTGGGACGGCGACGACGTCGGGGTGGTGGACGTGGACACGGCGGTGATTGGCAAGGCGTCCGGGCACGGTGGCGGCAGTTTGAGTATGCGCTGCACGGTGGACGTGGTCGCGGACGTGGACGCCGAGGACGACGGACTGTCGTCGAACACGATATGCGGACATAGTATGACGTGCTTGTTCAAGCGGCTGGTGTGCTTGAAGCTCATGCCGCACCGGGGACACGCGTGTTGCGGACCCTTATCACAGCGGTCCTCCCGAATGTGTCTCTTCAAGCTCTGCTTCCACTGATACACTTTGCCGCAGAGCTTACACTCGAACTTCTCGGCCAGCAGGTCCGGATCTGAAACCATCGGTACGGCAGGTAAATCTCACACGTCATAATATCGCGGCCATAAATATGAATATTATAAAGATATTTTAATTTTCAAGTAAATATTAATGAAAAATAATTATCGCAACGATGTAGTTATTTAAACAAGAAAACGAAATATATGGAATACCTATAACACTTTATGTGTACCTAAATACCTACACCAATAACGTTACGGAAATGTAGCGTTGCCGTCTTCGGCGCCTCAAAAAAACTGATTTCCGTGTACAATGACGTTATTCTTTTCATGACGTATATCACCACCCAACGATCATAGGTCTCCTAACCATTCTAACGCGGATAATTTTCCAGAACCGATAATACTCTCGACTCAAATGTTTCTATAATTCGACGCAGATGGCATAAATCGAGAGAAATATTCTGACATTAAATACATTTTACTTGAATATTTTTATTTGTTCACGATACCTGTACCCGTGTATGACATTAAATTGCTAATCATTATTCTAATTTAATTGTA